ACCGAAGCTTTCATGTCCGACCACCATGTCGTCGTCGCGTGTTCCTAGATCGACCATGGATATCCGCGGATGGTGTTGCTTCCGTCGTGGGTGGAGAAGAGTCTGCAAGACATTGACAGCGGCGCCGTCAAGAGCTGCAGTGAGCGGCGGTGCGACCACGGACGGGCGATCTGTGAGCTTTCAGAGGTGGCGGCTAGACAGAGGCTGCTATTCGTCGGTTTCAGTTGCCGGATTGCGACGTCGGATCACTGAAAAATTACGTCGGCGCTGGAGATACCTGGTGACGCGAATTTTTGCTGAGGGATAAAACGATATCACGAGGGAGAGAGACACAAATATCGCGAGGGAAAGAGAGAGAGATATGTGGAGGGGAGAGATTAGGGTGGGGCCCACTAGTATAATTAGGGTTGATGGATGGGGTTAGGTGGCTGATAAATTAATGTGATGTAGGGCCCACTTGTTGGGCGTAGGGTGCAAAATTACTCCAATACCTTTAATGAAGGTATATTTTTTGTTTTTTATAAGCCTTTGGATCATGCGATCTAATGAATACGATGTATTCTTATTTCTTTCACTGAACACCATTCTCATGTGAACCCATCCCTATATTAGTGCTCAGACTAAGTACTACATTGATTATAATATAGCTACCATGTTTGAGGTATGTATATTCAGTATCCGCTCGGAATGGTTGCTGGTCCATTCTGGGTTCTAGTGGCCTTAATCTGCCCACTAGAGTGTGCACATGGTGTCCGACTTTGCCGGCAGATGTTCAGTTTCAGACAGGTGATGTATATCACGAGATCAGTATCAGATTATTCAGTACCGGTATCAGATATCAGTTATCAATTTCAGTTCAGTTCAGTTATATATGTCAGGATCATGATATTGTACTTATTTTCACTGTTTACTTTAGTATGAGTTTCTGCGGAGCACAGTGTATTAGTACTCACGCCCCACATTATTCATGTTTTTTCAGGTCACAGAGTCGGAGCCGGGATGTGAGCGGGCGTTCGGTTCAGAAGTTCTGTAAATATGTATAATCATGTTTTGGCTACACTATGCTTTCCGCTACTATTACTGTTTTTGCCAAACTCAAACCCGATTTATAATCGGTGATTATATTATGCTAAACCGTTTTATTTTCTTAATATAACGGTTTTCAAGTAAATTCATGTTTTACGGTAACACTCCGAATCATTATTTCACAAAGTAAATATTTTATTTATAAATTTTGCGAAAAAGCGTACTCTGATTTTCATGAAATAGCGGGGTGTTACACAAAAACGTTACAGTGCTATTTTAAGTAGATTTTTGTATATATAAAAACAGACAACACTCTGCGTGGACTCTGTTGATTATTAAATGTGATCAGGTAGTTACAATCTCATCCAAAGATGAAATATTTTTCCAATTAACAATAAAACTTTTATCAGGCATAAACTTGATTAGATAAAATATTTAGACAATAAAATAATAATTAGTCATTTTCTTATACTTTTTATTTTTCTCCATAAATGCCAAGAAAAGTGAATAAATAGAACACATATACAAAGTTTCAAAAACATTACAAGTAATTACAAATAATAAATTAATTGACCACTCCTTAAGCTTTGAATTAGACCTGCAAAAAAAAAAAAAAAAAAAAATTAAAGTTTTAAATTGAGACTAAAAATGTTGCACATATTATTTTCAAACTAAACTAAATATTTTGCTAACAGATTCTTTGCAAACAAATTAATTTAAAAATAATTTGAAAACAAATCTTTCAAAAAGAAATTACACTAAATAAACATATTCTTTGCATATTTACATAAAAAATAACAATAAAATAAAAAAAAACTATAAATCGGTTGTCCCCATATATATCGGTCTATTGTACTTTTTGTATGTTAGAAAGCGGAAACACACAAAAAAAAAATGAGAATTTAACAAATTCATCGAGATGTATCGACCTATTTCACCGAGTTTTTATTATTTCGAAAGAGGTATGATGAAATAAGGAGAAATTATATCTAGATCTAATTTCAGTTATGAAAAGTGAAACCCTTAAAAGTTTCTAGGGTTTTATTTTGGGCATTTGAGTTAAAAATAAAAAATAAAAATTCCAACCATTTGTGTTTCTACGCACACTATGACCATTAATAAAACAAGGATTGAGCCAATGTTTAGTTTGGGCATTTATGCATATTGGGCCATTTGATTTAAAACAAAAATATACATGTTTGTTGTTCAAACTTTTAAGTGTAATGGGCTAACTGGGCCCTTTTAGATTTCGGGTCGTCTTTACGAGTCAGAGGAGTTTGAAAATAATGATTTGTGGTGACTGAAATTTCTGACAATAGAAAAACCATGGACATTGTATATAAAGAAATGTTTAATAATATTTAGATTTTTCTTTTTAGAATATTTTTTTAATGATTATGTTATGATTTTTACTATTGTTTGTATTTTTTTATTATTTTATTCTTTATCATATAGTTTTCTGTGCAAATGCATGTTGTAAGTATTTTTACCGAAGTAGAATCAAGAGATTCGTCCCCCGGGTCGTATCACAAGGAAGGTCAGCCGGAATAAATTGCACGACTATTCGAACACATGAAAGTAGAAACAAGTCCTAAACACTCTAATTCGATTGGTTTGGTTTGATTTTATAAACTACGAATAACAAGATCAAGACTAGCAATTTCAAATTCACAATTTAAAGTTTAAATTCGAATAATGATAAAAAGGCTAGGGTATCGGGGATATCGTTTCCGGTTCTTAAAACAATTTACGATCAATCAATTACTCGACTAAGGGACTCAAAAATTAACTCATCTAGAGGTTCATTCTCAATATCTCTCGAAACAAGAGAATAAACGTAAACAAATCAATAACGAATCAATTAGCACATAGACAATACGTTACCAAACAAGTCTATTCTTAACGAGCCTAGGTCAAACGATTTCTCCCCTTTCGGTTTCAAAATCGATTAATTAGATTAAGATGGTGATCAAACATCTAAACCCTAGGTTAAGCACAACTCGATAAGATTGAGCAATTAATCATACACATAAACGAAATCGAACTGGAATGATAATCCCCTAACCCTAGCTAATGAATTTAGCCACTCATCGCAACCTCAACACAAACATTCACAATAAGATAAACCATCACATTCATTCACAAAATAAAAATGAGAGCTTATGATTATTACCAAATCCAATGTCGAGAAAAACGACGAACAATCCAAATCCACAAGCTAGAGAATGAGTTTTTCCACTCAAAAATCCAATCAAAGATGAAAGATTAAGAGGAAAAAGTGTTCTAAGGTGAAAGATAATGAAAAACAAAGTCAGAATGTTTAACAATATGCCCTAGGCTCGACCCTTATGCTTTCCAAATTCAAAATCCTCGAAAAACGCTGTCGGTTACGAGCAGGGGATAGCGGCGCTAAGGGGTTAGCGCCGCTATGGCTGGAATACCCCGAGCTGCAGCCCATCGCTATACCGCAAACCGCCGCTTTCTCAACAGGCCATAGCGGCGCTATGGGCATAGCGGCGCTATGGCTTGGACTGCTCAAAAAATTTGTCGACTTGGACTCGAGTGCTCTCGGCTAGCGTCCCTCGGGCCCTCCTCGAGCTAAAACTCAATCCTCAAATGCTCCAATCTCACAAACCGACGCAGAACTCCTGGGAACCTGAAAACACCACCATCGAACAAATACAAAAGCAAGAGAAAATAGAAGAAATAACAACGAAAAATACTAAAAGCTCGAGAATGACCAAAAAGGACCGAAAACTCCTAAGAAAAGACCTAAAACGGGGGAAAATAAACATAAAATAACCAAGAAAAACATGACAATAATGGAACGAACAATGCACATGTTACAACTAGTGTAAAGAAAGAAGTCACCTTTAATAAATAATGATGTCGCACAATAATTCAAGGACCCAAACCCAAGAGGATGTGAATACAACCGAGCAGACACCTACCGTCGGTGGAAGCAATAATAGAGGGTCTCAGCTGTCTATAAAAGGATGCTTGGAGGAAGCATAAGGGATCGATCATTCTCTTCAGTTTTCTCACTATAATAAAATCTTTCTAATAATTTGTAATAGAATGAGTGTTAAAAGTTGTAATTTTATTTTCCAAAAATTTTATATGTATTTGTATGTACACCTCTATCATGAGAGGCTAAAAGTAAATTATCCTCTAAAAAAAATACTTATGAAATAAATTCTCTTTGAGTTTATAATAAAAAAAGAAGATTTTGCTTCACAACATGTTGTCATAATTTTTATCTATCTCCAAAATTAAGTTCTTGCATGCTTGAAGTACGAAACGAACCAAGACTGTGTTAAATAGTGTCTGGAGGAGTCGAATAATTTGTGGTTCATCTTCCCATAGGTGTAAAGTTGGACGGTGAGGAGCCGTCCGTGACACGAACTAGGGACACTAATTTTCCGATTGGTGGAATTGCATCCCATCTCACCCAGAATAATTTCAGTCATAAAAGGTACGAAAATTGTGGAGTTATCTAATTTTACGTAAGCATGTGGGGCATGGTATTATTCAATTTATTCTAAGTACTATTTAGAATAAGCTCAGATACTAAGAGACTAGGTATTGCTAGTAAACAAAGTAGGTACTATTATTTTATTAAAGATGTACGATTATCAATATAAACTGGTATTACTTTTCTTAATCAAATTAATATAAGGATATTGCGAGAATATTAAAAACTTAATATTCTAATGTAAGTGGAAGGGGGTAAAGTAGAGGTGGCACTGGCCCGCTCATTTATATGTGCCAATTCAAACCGATGGTTCACCGGCCCGGTGGGTCACGGGCCGGTACGACCATGTTTTCTCTTTTTTTTTTTAAAAAAAAAAACAACATTGTGGACCGTCGTTCGACCCCCGGCCCGGCCCGGATCGACGTGACCAAAAAAAAAAATATTGAACTGGGACCGAACCGCGACCTTATGGGTTCGATTCACGGGCCGGTTCGTGAACATGTCTAGGGTGAGTGGAAGAAAATTAAGGGTAAGGACTGGACAATAATTTGGAAAGGGGTTGGGAGAGTGAGTTAGAAAATGCCATTAATTTAATTATAAAATAGTTATTTGGACAAAAAATAAATAAATATAAAATAGTTATATAATATAAGTTAAAAAAATATTATTATATATAAGATGGTAAGAATATCATTTTAAATGTAAATAATAATATAATTTTCAAAATAATACTTAAAAAAAATATTTCTGTTATTTTAAATATATATATATATATTTCTTCGATATTGTACTGGTCCATTTATAATTAACGAAAATTTTACATTACATTTCATCCCAAAATTGTGTTTTCCACTTTTTCAAAATGATTATTATATGAAGAAAAAATAAAAAATAATACATTCAATTGCAATATTAATAATTTTCCCTCTGCAGACCGCTCGCTTTTCAGTTTCGAGATTCACAAAATTGAATTTGGTACTCTTTTCATCCACAAAGGTATAAAGGAAAGGCAGGAGCATCTCCAGGTCCAGCCTTCTTCTTCAATCGGGTCTTCACCATCTTGCAGGTTTCGGGTCTTCATCATATTGCTGGTAATTCTCTCTCTCTCTCTCTCTCTCTCTCTCTCTCTCTCTCTCCATCTCCGTGCGTGTTTCAATCTGGTGTTTTTCGTGCTTCAAATGCTCGGCTACTCTTACCGCTGTATTGATTTTCTGTCCTTGAATCTCGCTATTCTTCGTTCGTTTATTTGGTTTCATTTGTCTGTTTACATGGAGATTGATCTGATTTTCTGTTGTGCTCTTCCATAATAAGAAGTAGGTGCATCAATATTGATCTGATTTTCTGTTTGTATGCGTTTTGGAGTATCGATTGAAGCTATTGATCGTTTTCTTTTTACTCAAATAATGAACAGCTTACATAATCAACCAAATACACATGTAACACATTCAGTGTAAATCTTGTAAAGATATGTAAATCAATATATTATTTTTTTGCACACAAATGTTGATGCTAGGATGCGTAACAGTTAGACAGACATACTTTATTACAAAAAAAAAAAAAAAAAAAAAATGCATATTTATACTATGGAGATGTCATACTTATAATATTTTAATGTGTGACATTTTAATATGAAAGTATGTATATCTGTTGAATTGCCTAACCATTAGGAGCCCAACAAGCCTGACAAAAGACCTACTGTTTTTGAAATGTTGAGAAACTATATTGCAAGTGTGGGATTTCATCTTTGTCTCGCATATATACGTTAACCAATATGCAAAAGTGTTAAGAACTTGTTTATGGGACAATGGCATAAGATAATGTGGTGCCAATATGGTGAAGAACCATATGAACTTAGAAAATGTCATTTGGCTTGAGCATATTGGTGGTTAGATCGATAAGGGATGTAAGATCATATATCCTTATTAAAGAAGCACTACAATTTATACTTTCCTGTATCAACTTCATCTGATAAGGTCATTGATATTTTATCCCACATTGTGCAAAGAATAATTTTTTAGACCATTAACTGTCTTCTGGGAAAGACTTGCAACATTCCTCAATTCCTTACTCCTTAAGCTCATAAATTCTGTAAATGCGGTCTGCCAAATAGGACTTTAATGGTGTGCCATTGAGACTTTTATCTGATTATTATGCTCACTTCTCATACATTATTTTCTTTTGAATCTCAAATAGAGCCAATTAGTTTATCTTCGGAGGTCAACTTGTGTTTTTTGCTTGATTTCTGTTTCTACATGCCACTGATTTGATGATGTAGTATAGCCAAACACATTCTTTTCACTCGTCACTTATATGATGTCCTGTTTTCACCAATTTTAATTAATTAGGGGTATGATCAATTTGATATGTAATTTGTGCTACCATTTACATTTAATCATGTTGGCAAATTTTCTTTACTTTGTATGCCCACAGATACAAAAATATAAACATGATTTGCATAATGATAACTGCAAAAAAATGGATGTAGTAAGTTTCACATCGTGGTTTACGCTTCTTACCGCAGTACGTGATATAATCTTTTTTGTGACATAAAACAGTTTTCAGTAACAAAACCTAGAAGTTTGTTTGGCCTTTGGCCTTACTTTTTTTTTTTTCATATATCAATCTCCCAATGAAGTACCATAATAATAGAGGCAAATAAAATTAATAGAACGCTCATTTGTTTCTGCATGCATATGGGTTTTGAAATGGTTCTATATTGAACTTTTCAATTCAAAATTTATTCTTTTAAATGTTGCAGATATGGATACTGCATCAAGTCAAGGCTTGTACCCCCTGCACCGCTGCAAAACTATTCACTTGGTTAATATTTTCTTACTTTTGTTGCTGTCCAGCAAAACTAGGTACCCATTCCGGAGTTGAATTAGCAAGGTGTCTAATATGAGAGCACTTCATATTATTTTGTTTAGGTGCGGCATGCTCAGGGATTTCACAATGTAGCTGGAGAAAAGGATCACAGTGCATACTTGTCTCCAGAACTTTTTGATGCACATCTTACCCCTCTTGGCTGGCAGCAAGTACGTATCGTTTTCTTGTCTATTCTTGTGGCATTTAAATTTGGATTGCATTTTTTTTATAATCTCCTAGCATAAATTGTAATTGCCAAAAAAAAAAAGAAAATGAATTCTCTTTATTTTTAGGTACGTGTATCATCTTAATATTGCTAAGAAAGCATCTCAGAAGTTATTATACTATCAGCTAATGACTGCAACAAAGTACAATTTTTTTTTTCTTTTTTTTCTTTCTTTTTTATGAAAAGGAAAGGACGAATAATGATGTTCACAATGTAACAGGTGGATAATCTGCGCAAGCATGTTCATTCATCGGGTCTTTCTGAGAGAATTGAATTAGTCGTTGTTTCCCCTTTGTTGAGGTATGCTGAACTTCTGATTCCTCTGCGGCTCCTCTACTGTTATCTTAATTTCCTTTTTTCTTTTCCTCTCATAATTGGCTTTTTGAAAATAATTATATATTGTACAAACTTTATGGAGTATGATCACGATTGATACCAAAAACTTCCACTTCTGGGAAATTATGATTTAACACAAAAGTTTTCAGCAATAATACTATTGACTCTTCTCACTTTTTCCTGACTCCAATCTTAAATATAGAATTTTTATAATAAAACTAATTATTACCACATATGGCCCTATAAATTTCACTACCATCCACTCACACATTCAGCCATCATTTATCTATTCTATATCACATTTACTTTGATCATTACTTTTTCATCATATGCTCATTTGGTCATTCACATTCCCTCCAAAGTTCTTTCAACACTATTATCTAAGTAAAGCTCTCAAAGCAAAAGTATATTCAATTGCACCTGAATGGTCTGTGTTTAACAGGTTCATGTCTAATATTTATTCATTTCAACAACAACAACAACAACATACCCAGTATATTCCCAACTGGTTAGGGTCTGGGGGTCTGGTGTACGCAGACCTTACCCTTGTAATTATACAAGGAGGTTATTTCCGTAGCGACCCAAGGTGCATTGCGTCGTTTGATATATTTTTTTTTTTCTAGAAACTTCACTAATAGAAGAAGCACTAGAATTTAATTGAGCTATTTTGATCTAGTCCATTATTAGCACTTTGCCAGGAGAATTGTCAACAATGACTCTTCCAGCTCCATTTGCAATGGACAACTAATATTTATTCATTTATCATTTTTTTTTTTTTTGTGGCAACCCTCAGAAAGGGACGTAGAACATGAAATTTGTGTTCAAAGACTCATGTAATCTGGTGAATGTGTGGTGGGATGGGTTTGAGTTGAAAACTGTAGCTTGCTTTCCACTTTCTTGAAACTACGGATCACTACTGAATTTGTGGTATATTCATTGTGCAGCAGCAGTAGTACTAGATAGAGACAATAAGCAGGCCCTTGACATCCCTGCTGTTAATAGTTAAATTTTGTAGACCTAATTTATTACTAAGCGCAACTAGCATTGCAGGACTATTCAAACAGCTGTTGGGGTTTTTGGTGGAGAAGCTTACGCGGATGGAATTGATGCACCTCCTCTAATGACAGAAAATGCTGGTGACAGTAACCATCCTGCGATTTCAAGTTTAAACTCCCCACCATTTGTGGCAGTAGAACTTTGTCGTGAGCATTTGGTATGAAATGTCTAAACATAGCATTATGTGGTGCTGTAGGATTTTTTCCTTCATATATTATAAATTGATGTGGGTCACTTGCATCCATGTCAGTATAATTTTTCTCATGTGCACACCTTTTTTATACATTGTCATTCTTAGCTCATGTTGCATATTATTCGCGCAATGCTACGTGGAATATTAGATAAACTTGATGTGATACGTAAAGTGTAGATACTTTTGTTATTGCAATGTTTCCATTTTGTGTGGTACCATCACTATTTTAAGTGGACATGCTTCAGAAAAGTTTAATTTAAGGAAAAAGCCTATATTGGGAAGTCTTGGTAACAAGAAAATAGGATCTATAAAATTAGAACGACGTCTTCGCAGAGTTTTTGGGTCTTACTTTGATTGTTTTAGTGATTTTTGTGTGAGTGTGAGTTGAGCTCCCCCTCCCTCTGAGCTAGCTTTGGGGGATAATTTCACCCAGTCTCATTTACCACTTGTAATATATAGATCCAATGTTCCTCTTAGTTTCTAATATCTGTTATCAACATCACTCCTGTTCAATTGTTTTGATATAAACTTGTTTCAAATATTTCATTGTTGTACTTATCTTGTTTCTAAATGGGCATGGCTATCTTTTAGCAAAAAATTTTGGAACTTTGGCACGGTCTTTTACCTTTTTCCTTATTTGATGGTCAGGCTTGGGAATTATTATACCTAAATAATTAATTTTAATCAAGAGAAGCCTACGGATTATTCAGTTATTGATTAATAAAATCTAATGCAGGGGGTTCACTGGTGTGATAAGAGAAGGAGCATAAGTGAGTACAAGCCGCTCTTTCCTGCCGTCGACTTTTCGCTGGCAAGTACATGTTCCTTCTTGAGTTTCTCCTTCACACATCCGAACAAAAAGAATATACTGACGTGACTTGTTTGTTCTTTATACCTTTGTGCTTATGTTCAGATAGAAACGGATGCTGACACTCTCTGGCAACTTGATGTCAGAGAGGCAGATAAAGACCTTGCTCAGAGGGGACTGAGATTTTTGAATTGGTGTTTTTTTTTTCTTTCCTCTATTAGTTTGTTTGAATTATTTTATGTTATCTTTGAAGAATCACAACTAAATATCTAATCTATGTGTTCTTTCTGGTATGTTGAGGTTGTGGACACGCGAGGAAACTGAGATAGCGGTTGTTACTCACAGTGGATTCTTGATTCATACCCTTGCTGCATTTGGAGATGATTGTCATCCATCTATAAAGAATGAAATATGCAGACCGTAAGTTTTTGGTCATTTCTAAGCAATATATATATTATGTAAGTATCGGTACCACATTGGCTCCCAAACAAGCTCCTGCATCACTATTCGCCAAGTTTCCAGAGTAATATTCTCGTGTTAATGATTTCGACACACATTTTGTTCAAGAATGAAATTTGTCTTTAAGAAACAATGCAACAGGAATTTATTCTCTTAAGATAGTGGAAATGAAATCGAGGAATGCGAATATTCATTCAAATTAACCATGCATTTTAGCAATTGTGTGATATCATCATCCGATTATTCTTATATTGTTTCTGTGTGCATATATTATGCTTTAAAATTTGAAGCTGATGAGTATGAATCTCCTGCAAGAAAGAAACTAGTTGATTTACATTTGCTAAGTTCGTTTGCAGATTCAACAATTGTGAACTTCGATCGGTGGTCATTGTTGATAAAAGGTGCACAAAAATAATTATTTGGATAACCGGTTTTCTCATTTTCAATGTTCTCACCCCCTGCCTTCTAATTTTCAGTATGATCTCTTCAAGTGCCTCGAAAACTGATTATCCGGGAAAGATTCCTCGTGGGCCCGATGCCCCTAGTGACTCTGCCGATGAGAAACATTGATGGTTTTTTTCATTGTTTGTACTACTGGTGTTATTGGTGCTTATATGATTGATTCTTAGATTAGCTAACAGAAATTCCCAGAACATGATCAAGTGATTCAGTATGACAGTTTCACTCCCTTTTAATCAGAGAAAATTACAATTTGGTGAAACTGATTAGACTAAAGAATGTTGTGCCAGACATTTATAGCTTAAATTATTTATTTTTATGTTTAGGATCATAGCTCACTTGATGTTGATGCAGTGCCTTGTGCCCCACTGCTATTGTTTTTCTTTCTCCCTCAAAGATTTGAAGTCGTACTTGGAAAGAACCGTGGTTAATGGTATTTAAAATCGGTTTAGCTTAGTGAAACTTGCTTGCAGACTATTTTATAACAACAATTATATTAGTATTTTTTTTTTCTTCTCATTGATGTTAATACTTACACGTACGTAGTCCGTGCAATGCACGGGGCAATAATTATAATTTGCATGTATTAAAGTAATTAAATATTGGTTAGTATAGAAATAATTTTAAATATTAATATTAATATTTTTTCTTTTACATTATGATGTATAATAACCAATATATGATTTATATGTTTATTTCACTCGTTGTAAAATAATTGTCATTTTAGAGTTCATGTTTATAAATAAGGATAGATGAAAATTTAATATATTTAAACATTATTAATAAATATTGCTCACATAATATTTTTCTCTGTCTATTGCTTTAAACATACTTTATTACAATATATTATATCGATATTAAAATAAGTGATGCTTAAGTTGAAAAAATGTGCCAATTATTATAACCAACACTTAATTGTAAAAAAATTGTAATATATATTATTTTGAAGGTAAAAATTAGTAATTTTTAATAACATTAATATTATTTATTTTATTTTATAACTAATAAAAATATATATTATAAATAATTTAAGTTTTATTTCTATTTTATTAATTTTATATGAAATTTGTTATGATATTGTGAATCACAATATGAATTATTAAAAAATTGGTTCGGTGTAATTATTGATAAAATCAAGAAATATATTTGAATTCCTTGAATGGATAAATTTCGGTATATAGCTCGTTACCAAATGATCATAGAGATTTGTTATCAATATTGAGATATCAGTTCTATTGCAGTATTGTGGTAGTGATATCAATAACATTTTTGTCGTTGGTTTCTAAGTTTATTTTGTACTTATATTTTGCAATGTTCTTATGCATATTTTAGTCTACATATGGTTGAAAGTCCAACAAAGGAGGAGAACACATGATTTGTTATTAAGAATAAAGATTTGTTTGTTATTAAAGATAAATAGTTAAACTGCTTTTGATATTGTGGAAAATTGCGTTTACAACTTTTAAAAGACGGAATCAGTTGGATTATCGATAAATCAAATAATTCTAAAATAATCCTATTGGTTAAATGATTTTTTTAATATACGAAAAGAAATACTTTGCTACATGGTTGATTAGCAAATGAATAAGAAATCACCGCTATTTGTTATTAATGTTGATAAAAATATTCTGACATTGTGATAAATATCCTAATAAAACTTTCATAATTGATTTTTAATTTTTATTTTGTAATTTTATCGTAAACATTCCAATAATATTTTCTAAAAATAAAGCATATATAATACATACTTTTTAAGACATGTTGTATGGTTGGTTACCAAAAGAATGAGAAATTCCAGTGAATCATAATTAATACAAAATAGCCAGATTGCACGATTTACAACATATAGGTATAATTTAATATTATTTTTTATTTATAAATATTGAAGTAATTTTTACTTTATTAATAGTAAGTCAATCTATTTAATTACAAAGTCAGAGTTATTATTTTATATTATTCCATCAACCAATTTCGATATATATGGATCACATAATTGATTTTCAATTTTTATATTGTAATTATATTTGTAACTTTATCGTAAATATCAAAACAATATTTTCTAAAAAAAAACCTATTTAATAGATGATTTTGAAGACATGTTATATGGTTGGTTACCAAAAGAATATTCCAGTGAATTGTAATTAATACAGGTAATCGTATTTTTATTGCGACAATATCGTAAAATGTCTGTTATAATTAATATCACTTTATTTATATATATGATTGGTGTAATAACCGAATAGCACCATTTACAATAGAGACGTATAATTTGATTTTCATATTTTTATTTATAAATATTAAAATAATTACTATATTTCCTTTAATAGTAAGTCAACGTATTTAATTACAAAATCAAAGTTACTATTTTAGAGTATTCCATCAAACTCTTTCAGTATATATAGATATAGATTACCCGTATGCTTCAGTGATTGATGATTTCTTAGTTTGGCCGTTAGATTGTTGCTAGATTGAAACGGGTATCTCGCGTTAGGTTATGCCAAGAATAAATAAACTAGTGCCTATTTTTGAATGATAAGTTTTTGCCTACTTGATATGAGATACAATGTCAGGTTGTGTACGATCTAAAGGCCTTTACGATTGGATCAGGTCAACCTGTAGGTAGACCAGGTGTCAATGACACTGGAGGTCGAAGAATCACCAGGTCGATGGTGATCTTACAGATAAGAAAACTCGCCAATAAGTCGAGCTAGGACTCTCGGCTAGCTTAATTGAAACTCGATCTGGAGGTCAACAAGTTGATGCACGACCTATGAGAGAACTCACCAACAGGTCGAGCTAGAGCTCTTGGCTAGCCTGATGAAAACTCGACATGGAGGTCTGCAAGTCGATGCACGGCCTAAGAGGAAGGCTTATCCAGTGAAAGTCGTAGCAAGTTGGTCCAAGGGAATCCGAGCGGGTAACACAATTAGACCGCCTAATGAGGTGGTCTAATGTGAGCACACTACATAATGGATAAGAAGTATAATTAAGATAAGAAGAATACATGAATATAACCATGTGGCCGAACAAAATTGAACAGTTTAGGCTCCCGGGCAGCACGAACGGTAGCTCGGGAACTCGAGTAAGCCAGTCGGGCAATCTTGAGCAACAAGGCAACACTCTTTAATAAATGACTGATGTATGATCACTTACATTCTGCATACTCCAATATGCATAAGACCATATACAGTTCATTCAATTCATCTTTGTCATCATTGTTCACTAATTTGAGTGTCGAAGTTTCTTCGCCGAGACAATTTCAAACACTGTTTTGCAAGTCTTTCTACTGGTCGAGAGCGGATCCAAGATCATTCAGCCCGATTGAGGTCGTTTGCCTACCATTAATCAAGTGTAAACGAAAAAAAAAAAAGTTGAGTCATGCATATGTATGAATGTTTATTTTGTGTGTGGCCTTATGTTTATCAATAAATAATAGTACACATGCCTAAAATCACATGTAATATAAACAAAATCAATAATGTTTTACTATTTGATATTTATTTATTTGTTTTCTCTATCAATTATTAATGAAGTTGTATTGTGGAAATGAAAGATAAATTTATCAAACCAAAAGTATCTAAAACAACTAATTTAAGATTTTACATTGGTTGATTCCACTTGTGGCCTTCTTCTTCCTTCCTTTCCATGGAGCTAAGAACTCAATTACACCTTTCAAACCTCTCCTCCGATTTATAGTCGAGCATATTCTCTCATCACCTTTTAGTCGAGACTCAATTTGCTCTCCTTGACGTCGAGTCCCACGAAAACTCTTTATGACAAGCGGACAAACTAGATGAGGTTTTATATCGGTTTGAGACCTAAAAGATTAGTCAATTATCAATTCGGCGCTTGAAAAGTAAAACATATCAACTCAAGATTTGAAATACTTAAACTCTAAAGGTAAAATATCTTTAACATTTTATTATTTATATTAAGATTTCTTTTATTTATAATTTTAATATTGTTACTAGTGATGTGACGTATAAAAAAATTACTCATAATTTTCATCTATTTTTTAGTTTTTTATTTGTATTTTGGTTTATTTTATTTAGATTTTTGAAATTATATTTAAAGTTTTAAATTAGTAATTTCAAATCTTTAGAGTCTCGAATTGACATATCCTTAGATATTTAGACTCACAAAATTTCATTCTTTTATTTTTTTTTTAATTTTTCAATCTGAAAAATACATGTTATGAATACTATGATTATTAATGCAATGTCATGGTCCTACGTGTTGAATTCTGGTGCTTAATCCTATGTGTCATTTTTTGTGCTTCGTAGTAGTATATGTAGATATGAGTGCGATGCACGAACGGACTTTTTACTTAAGACCTTTTTTAAAACTTTATATTAAACTTAATTATTTATGTTTAACATTTCATTATTGTAAGAAAAGAAATACAAAATATGATAAATTATATATTATTTATTTGAATAAAATGAGTGTCTCCAACTAAACCAATAACATCCAACACATGATATATAATAAAATTAATTATATGATCGTCATACTTTTTGAATATATATATAATAATAATAATAATAATAATAATAATAATAATAATAATAATAATAATAATAATAATAATAATAATAAACATGAGATATTCACATTAAAATTTGTAATTTGGATATGAGTTGAAAAATGAATATGTAAAAAAAAAAAAATGTACCAAGAGCCCACATAATATGGATTCTTTCTAAACTTTAAAATATTTGTAGTTAAATAAATTGACAAAAATATCATCAATTAAATTGAACTATCAAAAATAAAAAAAATAATTTTTGAAATTAATATGAATTTTTAAATAAATAAATATCAATTGTTTCTTAAATAAATATGATTTTTTAGTTGTGACCATAAAATATGAGTTGTAGATAGATAAATATAAATAAAACAATATTTAACAATTATGTTGACATGACTTTTCGAAAGTTTTCAAAAAATTTCAAACATTTTATTCGTTAAATGGTTGACTGGATTTTTGTAACCAAATTTACATGTTTGACCAAAAAAAAATTAAAAAAATGATTGATCAGTCTTTTTAAAAGCAAGATTTTCAATATTCTTTCTCATTATTGACCAAATTTACCCGTAATATTTAAAGA